CAACTCCGGAAAATGAACCTGGCAAACAGGGGCCTCTCTCCATTCACTATCCTTTCTCAGAAATCCTGTGGGGATTTCTGCTGGGAATACCTATCAGAGCTGTGCTGTGTTTCCTCCAGTGGATTATGCCTCAGCCACTCGCCATCACTGCTCCATTTCAGCTAATTGTCTCATATGTTGCTATTTGTTATCCTCTTAATGAGAAACACAACTTTCCTGCACAACCACCAATGCAAGGACCTGGCAGGCCACAGAATCCTGAAGATCAGCAGATGCAGGTCTGTAAAACAGCAGTTTGTTCCGAACTGAAATTACACAGAGAAGGCATGTGATTCCAAACAGCATCAAACTCAAGTTAGCTTGAAAACAACCATACCCACTTCAATATATAAAATATATATATATATAGAAAGACTAAAGACCTAGCACTGTTATCTAGTGCTTAAGGCAAAAGTTGGTTGCTATAAGAACTGCCATCTTGGTTCAGATGTTTCCTGTAGTGTTGGGTGGCACTTAATCTCAGATGTTTTTCATTCCATTCTTAGGCCTGATTCAAAAATTTACCTATTGATAAGCAGAATATCTATATACTATTAAAACTCTTGACGTCATGACTTTTAACTGAGTGAAGCAGTGCATCATAGGGCAACAATTTTTGATCCAAGGCACCTCAAATGGGCTAATTTACAGAATATGTCCAAAATAGGATTGGACATATTCCAATATGGAATATGTTCAGGATTGGATTTAGGATTTCTGAGGGAATGAAATTTGGAAAAGTTGTGTTGCTTCGGTGCTGCTACTGTCATGTAATTTTTTTTTCAATGTTTCATGACAGTTTCCCAGCCAGTTTTGCAATCCCTTGCTCCCACCTCCACCCAGTTTACCTGCCTGCTGAAAAGGAAGGAGGGAGGAAGGTTAATTTCCAATGCCGCTTGCAATTCCTACAAGGAAACTCAGTGGGGAAATTGGCAAAACATTGCCCCTGTTCCCACTACTTTTTTGCCCTGTGGTCATTCTCTTTATTTATATCATAGGCCATGATTTATGGCTTTGTGTATACATTTATAACATACATCATACACACACACACACACACACAATTTATTATATACTGTAATATGTCCTGCAGGATAAAAACATAATAAGCGGTCTGTGTCTTATCATTCTGTAAGTGAGGAGAATCACAATGCTACAGTGAATTTAATACTAATAGTTATAATCACTGTAGTGATTTCTTTTGAGGGAGGAATAACTCCTTTCTCTCTTTCCCCATCTTTTTGTTGTTCAAATGTTTTTCTCTCCTTGGTGCCTTGGAAAATTATATGATTCTTATAATTTAACCAGTTTCAAACTAATATAGTTTCCCAGTACTCAGCTGCATTTTTTTCCCAATAAGATGTGGCCAAGAGAACAAGGGAACTGTTTGAAAAATATGTTCTACAATAAAATACATGCTTAAAAATTTTTCTCTTGCACATAAGTATCTATTTTATGAAATTGCCATGAATTTTAGTTCTCTAGCAAATGTGGAACTTTGAACCAAATTCAGATAAGTTAATTAAATAGACTGGAAGAGACTCTGATGCTTGGGGGAAAAAATTGAAGGCAATAAAAGAAAAAGTGGCTAGAATTGATGACAAATGCACGCATTTACAAGAACTCAAGAAAGCAGTGATTCAGAAAACAATTCTTCTGAAATTATGTGCATTGGGTTATGAAGAATCAGAAACAATCAAACAACAAACTGATTATGTCCCACTAATTTCAGTTGTCATAGTTCCTGGATTTTGAGAACTTCAAAAGAAACTAAGTTAAATATGATCATTTCACTATGAGATTTGCAATCTTCTAACATTTCCAATCAGGGAAAGTAAAGTAATATTGTAGTACATTCCCTGAGACTGATTACTTTAGGCCATGCTTTGTCCATCTTTTCCATTTTTAAAAGAACAAAGTTACTTGTCTGTTGTGAGCACAGTCCAGTGATTAATCACATCAGATAAGGACAATCCACCTAACCCTCCACAGCAATTCAGCCAGACTTTAGCACAGGATCAAAGTCAGAATCAATCAGCCTGCATTGACTTGGAACTTTGGGTTCAGGTTTCTGTTCAAGATCAAACATCCAGCCCATTAACAGGACCAGCACTCCATTTTGAGTCCAAGAGGCAGCTCCTTAGGAATGAAAGTCTAATGAAAGAATATGGTAGCAGTCGATATAAAGCCCTATGCTAGGACAAGTTCTATGCTAGAACTGCCAGAAGTAGGGTCTACTCATAAGTATATTTATGTGGAGAGAAAGACAGCTACTGGGATTAATAAGGCCAATTTACCTGATGGGTGCAAAGTTAGGAAAGAACTAAGCTTGTACACATGTGTTGTAAGAGATCGAAGGGCATTGGTTACAGACCCCCATAAATTATTTATCTGCAACTGAAGAGCCTTCCCTCTTTAACACATTTTTTTTCTTTTTAGAAAATAATTTATCATAACATGGTAGCAACTGAGAATATATAAATGCCAGGGCTGCATGAAATAAAACCACATCTATTAGTGATATGACTGGAGGTTGGCCTAAGGCAGTATCCTGGGGATGTAGCCTAGTTGACTTGCCTTCTACTTTCAAGTCATGCACCAACTGCAACATTGAAAAGATGAAAATGTGGTGTTTTCTGAGATTGGGACCATTGCAAGGAATGCTGCCCACAGGTGAGCAGTTATGAATGCCTTTGTATGTATGTACTTGGACCACAAGAACAAGCTGGAGCCGTTGCTCATGTACCATCCTGAGCTCATGGATGGAATATTAACATTGGTGTTGAAATTCCTGAGTTCCAGTTTTGGGGGATATTAACATCCACACCCCAGAAGAATCATCATGTCACAGTATAGTGAGTTTATGACTCCCATTAGCATTTGTGGGCTTTTTAAATTAATAGCACAAAACACATACCTTTGATCTTGTCCTTACACTGGAGATGATTCTGACATGAAAGACAAACATCTATTCTTTGTTGTGGGTCTTTCTTGTTGGGCTGCAGTTCACAGATGTCCTGCCCTCTGCATGTGGAATTGGACCCTTAGGTTGTTCTATCCAGATCCTATGGGAACCAGAGGGGACCTAGAGAGGGATAAAGGTAAAGGTTTCCCTCGCATATATGTGCTAGTTGTTCCCGACTCTAGGGGGCGGTGCTCATCTCCGTTTCAAAGCCGAAGAGCCAGCGCTGTCCAAAGACATCTCTGTGGTCATGTGGCCAGCATGACTAAACACCAAAGGCGCATGGAATGCTGTTACCTTCCCACCAAAGGTATTTTTTACGTTCTTTCAAACTGCTAGGTTGGCAGAAGCTGGGACAAGTAACGGGAGCTTACCTCATTACGCAGCACTAGGGATTCGAACCGCTGAACTGCCAACCTTTCGATCGACAAGCTCAGTGTCTTAGCCACTGAGCCACCTCGTCCCTTTTTATACATAGGGATATATCCTTATAAATTGGCACACAATTCAATTATCTTGATTCCCATAGTAGAGAGACAACCAAAGCATTGAATAAGAATGCTTTTATAAGGTCTTTGCCCAACTGCCAATCCCAAACGCTCTCTAGTTTACCAATGGGCTAAAGATGAAGAAGTGACTGGAAGAAAAGTCTTTATTGGTGAAAAGGTTGACCATTTTAATAAATGTTGACCATTTTAATAAATGTTACTAAACCAGGCAGTGTTAAGTATGGACCTATCTGGTGGTTGTAGGAGGAACGAACTGCCTGTTTTTGTGCCTATTGTGTCTGCAGATTCCCATCTAGCAATCTTGCTCAGAATTACCTGGACCAGTCTGGGAAAAAATGGGCAAGACAAAGTATCTGCTGACATATTAGATTTGTGGATTTCTTTATGCTTTAAGTTGTTCCCAGAGTCTGTAATGGTGAGCAATACAGTGTTTTGTAAAATTATCACCCGAGGGCAGATAGGATTCTCTTGTGATGTGAACATCACCACTGGTGTATTTCATTCATACTCTTTCAGTTGCTGAATCCAGGAGATTGTCGATGCTTCTTTGAGAGAGGGGATAATGCTGCCTGCCTACAGCCTCTTTTGGATCCAGCCATTTTTTGAGAACTTCTGTCCAATCTTCACTTTTAATTTATCTTATGGCATTTGGAGGTCATTCTACTTTCAATGCTCTCTGGGCAAAACAATTACAATACACTTGAAAAAAACAAATGTAATAATAAAATTAATATAATAATAATAATAATAATAATAATAATAATAATAATAATAATAATATAAAAAATAATAAAAAAGTAACAGTGATACCCATTGTCATCGGGGCACTTGGTACCATATCCAATAATTTTATAAAATGCATCAAGAAATTGCCGCTTCCTGCAATAACACCAGTGGAACTGCAAAAACCTGCACTACTCGGAACATCGTACATCTTTAAGAAGGTACTTGGTTGATACCTAGGACGCTGGCAGGAACCCATATCAACCATTAGCGCCAGTCAATGGTATTTGTGATGCATTTTTGAATGTTCAGTTGACTGAGTTTCATGTTTAATGAATAAAGTAAATAATAATAATAATACCCATCATGTGCTCCCATTCAGCTTAGAACAAAGGAGAATGAATTATATCCATATTCACTTGTTTATGAAAATCCATGTGGATGCTATTCCTGGGAAAATTGGCAGCATTGTCCATAGCCCATGGTCGTCTAAAGAAGTGGGGTAAGGATTATCAGGGGATGCTGTTGAGATGATTGAACTAGGCAGGCAGTTTCTGTTCTGCTGAGGCAATTTCTAATGTAACCTGACACTATGCAGTGTAGGTTTAAAAGTGACCAGCATCATTTTGAATTGGTTCCAGAAGTTCACCGGTATAGCAGTTTCAAAATAGATATTTTTCTGCACTAACTGTGTGCTCTACCTCTACGTAATATTCTAGTTCTGTGTCGTACACTTGCTATAGTTTCTGAATTATCTTCAACACCAATCCAACATACATCACGTTGCAATTTTATATCAATTTGCTCTTTTATATCATTTCACTTTATAAAACCAAGAATTTTGCTTTATACAATGCCTACAATTGTATGATTGGGCAGCTAACAATGTAGCAAGTATATAAGTAAAATAGAATTGACTGCCACATGCTTTTACAAATATTATTTTTCAAAAGAAAACAAGTGCACACAAACATTGAGAAATATGGTCCCTGGATAACCTCTGTATTACGGGGGAGAAACACACAGACTACAGTATGGAAACCAATACAAAATACCTATGTACAGTTCATATGAAAGTGGAACATTCACTGAACTTTCTTATATCTGCAAATATACAAATGTGTGTTCAGTTAATATTTGTAGAATCCAGGTGGACAGAGGTAGATATTTAGACCATGCCTCATTATTTTCTCATGACACAGCTGCAAAATTGGCTTTGCAACTGAGTATATGTTTAACAAAGAGCTATAATCAGCAACAGTTCTTAGACAAGTATACAAACGTACACATTATATTCACATTTTATACATATTTGAAACGTCATAGATGTACATCGTAGAAAAGCAGTGTGTTCTTCTGCGCATGTTATGGCCTACAATTCTCACACACCCTTACCGTCCGCTGTGTGACTACAACAGAAGTTAGAATTCAAAATACTTAAAACTGCATTGTGATCCTTTTTTTCCCCTTGGCATATACCTTTAAAAGTGTCTTATACAAGTTCCAGAGAAGAAATGGGGAACTGAAGAATCCGACTGCAGTGGAATCAAGCACCAGCAAATAGACCGGCTTTTTGTTATTCCTTTCAGGACAAGAAAAGGGTTTGATATTGCCCACAGGTGCTCCAGATATTTGTTCCTTGTGAGGAATTTGAAGACAGTTTCTGAAAGGTTTAGAGCCGTGGGAGACAAGGCAACGCTATCGTTGCTCAGACCGTGGTTGGTTGGTCTTTATGGCATACATTCTTTTCTAAACACTTTCAGAAATTGCTTTTCAGCCAGTAAAGTTTTGACAGTATTGGATGAGTTTCCTTCGATTCTCAGTGAAAGAATTTTTTATCACAGGTGGTCCTCAACTTACAACCACAATTGAGCCCCAACTTTCCGTTTCTAAGCCAAACACTTGTTAAATGGATTTTGACTCTGTTTATCACCTTTCTTGCCACAGTTCTTAAGTGAATCACTGCTGTTCTTAAGTTAATAACATGGCTATTAAGTGAATCTGGCTCTCCTATTGACTTTGCTTGTAAGAAGATCCCAAAAGGTGATAAAATGACCCCGGGACATGACAATTGTCATAAATATGAACCAGTTTCCAAGCTTCCAAATTTTGATCACATAACCATTGGGATGCTGCAATGGCCATGTGAAAAACCGCCATAAGTCACTTTTTTCAGTGCTGTTCTAACTTTGAACAGCCACTAAACGAACTGTTGTAAGTCAAGGATTACCTGTACAAATTTAATGATTTTTTTTTAAAAATTCCTTTTTTGCAATAAATAACAAAAAGGTGATTAGAGCTTTTATTTTGGAAAGTTACAAATTGACTAAAGGTACGGATGGATTCTAAATAAGATTTTGGAATTAATTATAAAAAACCTTTCAATGACAAATGTTTGTTTTGAAATCTCTTTAAAAACTAGGATAGGATGAGACTTTGAAGGTTGGACACTAAAGGGAAGCAGAAGGAACTAAATATTACAATTAAGGGAGAAGAACACTTAAATTTGACTAATACATTATGAAGCAAAATATTTTAACATTGGACATACTCAAATATATTTTTGAACTATGGATCAAAGGTTAATTTTAAGAGTCTGCCTCTAATTGTCTTTCAAAAGTGTCTTCTGCAAAATGGAAACAGGTAACTAAGAACAATTTACCAACTGAAATTTGTTTCAAATGTTGCTGTTTCACTTATATTCCCAAAAGTAGAAACTGCAGATACAATTGAATGCCTAATTGGCATCTTCAAAGAAATATATAAACCACCATGGTAAAAAGATCAGGTGGAAGGAAAATTTGGGATAATACTATACTAGCATGATTATCCTGCTGAAAACAAAGAGCAATCAACAAGAGAAGGCACACTGATCATACATACCGAACATTTCCAAGTTGTAGAAAATTGTGCCAGTAATATGCTGTTCCCTGCTAATCCAAATGTTGGATAAAAAAATTTAAATCATGGCAAATTGCAAACCAAATAATTAACCATGATGCAACTGAACAAAATCTGAGGGAAACTTGCCCCTCCTTTAGAAATAATCTGCACAACTAATTGTATGGAAAATTGTTCCTGCTAACATTGAAAAAACACATTGAAGAAAAAAGTTTTGGCAAGGAATAGGTAAAACAAAATCAGCTGTGCAGCCCTGAGCCCACAGAAACAACAGGGGACAAGAATCAAGTGCAATCTGAGCTTCAGCTTCAAACACTGGAAGCAATTAATAGAATCAGATTTAAAATAAGAGACATCCATACTGCACTTTCACAGCTGGAGAACAGGACAGATATTTAAGGAACTCTTACCTGCATTCTTAGGAAGGAAATGTAAAGAGGTTTACAACCATCAAAATCAATCAGCATATAAATTATACACGCCGAGATAGTTGAGCTTAATTCTTAATATCATTAATAACATTTCACAGCAGGGTAAAACCTCCTTCACACATTCAATTAGTTACTGAAGAATGAGGACAAGCAAAACAAACCAACTTTGCCTTGGCTGCCCCAAAGAAGCCTGCTCCCATGGCAGAAGCAACTTAATTGAAGAATTTGTATAAAGAATTTAGATGATGGAGGAATAAAAGTCAGAGATGACTTCTACTCAGAAGAGAGGCCTCCTCAGAAGAGCACTCAAACATGTACTGTAGAAGAAAAGTCCTGACATTCCAATCAATACCACAGTTTATTTAATGTCAAATTTAAAATAATGGAGGTGCTGTAATTTAGGTCCAGTATTTTAGTATTGAGTATTAGTATTGAGACAATTTGTTTTGTATTTTCCCTGAGCAGATGAATCAGAAATGCTGTGGCTGCCACCCCCAAATTTTGTGTTCTATCTGTGTTATCATGGCAGTAAGAATATTTTACCAGGATGCTCTAGATCTTGGTAATGCAGTACTTCTTGCATTTTATGATTTTACTATAATTTATATTTAAAAATCTATATATTTTTTCCTCTTTCAGACTTAAGTGAAGAAATTTCCTACTTGTCAGCAGAATCTGCATCTAAGGAGTTGAAATTACAGACTGAGTAGTCACTAAAAACTCAAACAGGGCTTGCAAAAATATGTTAACATTCCACATTGCACCTAACTGGAATATCACAGTGCTGATGCAAAGAGAACTGATACCTACTGCAGATACTGATCAGCTATCTTAGGTTAGTGAATATTTTTATTAAGATTTAAGCAACAAAGAAATAATTATTCTTAATCTTCCCTGTTAATGGTTTTTCAGTTAAACAATTTTCAGCCCGGAGAAGAAAGATTTAAAATTTCTTCACGCAGGGTTCTTATGATTTCAAATTGACAGTAAAGTTGCTTTTATTTTGTGAAACAGACTTGAAACGCAAAGGTGTCACTCTCATTCCCTAGTGCATGTTCTTTATGCTTACTTCAGCATCAATTGCTTACATGATAGATATTCATTATTTTGTGATAATGAGTTATACACATCAGGATGTAAATTGTTTCGGAAGATGATAAATTGCTTTCTATGAATCATTAATCTATTGCACAATTACACAATTCAAATTGTCATGTATAGCACCTTTCAAAAAAAAAAAATTAGTGTTGAGCTCAGTATTTTTTATCAAGAGCTCCAAAGTACAGAAGGCATTTTTATGTATTCCTAATTAATGATTGGTCAATTGAAAACCATCCCAATATGGTATGGAAAGCAGATTGAAATATCAAAATAGGCTAAGAATGGAATAGTCATTCTATATAGTTAAAAATGCAGTCTAATCCTATTCAGGATTCTGTTCAGCAGAAATAATAGAAAACATGAAATGTGTTCATTTACTAACAACTAGATACCTTAATAAAAAGAAAAATAAGAACTGCTGCTTTATTCAACTTCAATTATCTTGTAACGTTAAAAATGAACCCAACATCAATACACATTTTCTGCCAATTCTATGGCAGAATTAATGCTTACAATGTATTTGAAAAGATGCTAAAGCAGGTCTTGCACACCAGCCAAAGAGGGCATCTGGGCAGCAAATCTAGAAGGCAGTCTGAAAATGGACCAACAAGAGATGTGGTAACTAGCAGCCCTTAGAGAAGAAATATTTTTTGCTGTGTGATCAAAAACTTTGCATTGTGTATATTCGTATACACACAATTTTTATACAGCCAACAAACATTTCAGTAGACCAATGCAGCAATTCACCTCCATTGCTTCTTTTTCCACTGAGTTTTACTCTCTGTTGAAAAGCTTTTCAGGAACAAAGCGTTATTTTTTTTGTGACCTCTCTCTGTAATGCTCCCTGGCATGATTCTTTCAGTCCCGAAGATTTTTCCTAGCATCAGCTGCTGCCTGGGGTGCTGGATTCCAATTTGCCAACTTCACTCATGGCTGCTCTTCACAAGCTTCCAATGTTAGGAAAGCTCTTCAGCTTTTCGGGAAAGTCATCTTTGTACAAGACTGGATCGGCCCGGTGCTCCACCACTTTCAGAGGCATGGTCCCAAAGACAGAGGCAAATTTGTTAATGCATTCGGACCTAAGGGGGGGGAAGGGGGGAATAAATGAAATGCTTATAAACAGATTGCCCCACTGTATGTTTATTTAACAACTCATTGTTTGCAGCTCCCCCTTTCATGTTCTCCCCAATTATTTAATATTTAATTAAATAGGAGCAAAGCAAACACAAAGCAAATACAATGTGGTTTCCTGTTAAGGCATTGCAAATGCAGTAAAGGTAGCATTTAAAAGATTAATGCTATTATGATGCCTTCCTACTGTTAGAAGTAGGAAATGGAACAAAGAACCTCTCATGCTGGAAAGATATGAATCTCTATGACTGATGTATATAACCAAGGCAAAGATATAAAGAGATGCTATCAGCTGCACATGTATGCAGCATGGTCAAAGTTTCATTAGCCCCTCTCCAGCAGAATTCCAGAGATTCTTAAAGTGGTGCGCATGCTGCAAACTACAGTGGATTAATTGCCAAAATATCTCTTAAACAGTCTCTGCCAGGTCAAATTTGGCACTATACAGGGCTTGCAAAAATAAGCCTGTAGGTAACAAAAGACATACAAAAATACTTCTTTGGCTTTTTATTTTTTTGAAAATAACTACTGGAATTTACTTCCTTTATGTTATCTACACTAATGCCTGTGCTTGAAAGCTTAAGTTACAACATTTCTTTAAGAGCTAAAACCCTAAAGTGACTAGTTTATTTTCATTGTCCAAACTCAATGACATGAGGGTTTTTTAAAATTCAAAAACGTGCAAGTGTCCACATTTTTAAAAAGCATACTTATCATCTCACTTCTCTCTATAAGGCTAGTGGGTGACTGAAATAAGAAAACACGTAGATGTTAGAGGATGTAACACATTTCAGCTATCAGTTTGAAGGGTACATTTCAGTGACTATGAAATAATATGGCAAAAGGTACATATCTGCTAAAGAGCAGGTACGTTATTCTTTCCTAAAAATTGTCCACTTTAATAAACTTATTTATCTGCAAAATCTGTCCCAAATATCTTTAAGTAGTTGATGCTTTCAAACCTAAAATTGATATCCAAGAGCAAACAAAAGGCTCCACATCAGGGGTGAAATGTAAAATTTGTTACTACCGGTTCTGTGGGCGTGGCTTGGTGGTGGTGGGTTAATGTGACTGGGTGGGCGTGGCCAACCTTTTTTTTTTAAACTTTTCAAAGCATTTTTTCTAATGCTCTGAAAAGCCTCTGCCAAACAGGCAACTCAGCTGGGATCGTCAGAGAGGCATTTTAAAAAATACCTCTCTGCCGATCAGGCAACTCAGCTGGGAGTTGCCAGAGACTTTTCAAAGCATTTTTTTTACCACCTCTTCCGCTAAAGAGGTTGCAGAAAAAAATGCTTTGAAAAGCCTCTGATGATCCCAGCTGAGCCACGCGATCATCAGAGGCTTTTTTTTTTAACTTTTAAAAGCATTTTTTCTTCGGAAGAGGTTGTAGAAAAAATGCTTTTAAAAGTAAAAAAAAAAAGCCTCTGATGATCCTGCGGCTCAGCTGGGCATGGTGGGGGGGGGCAGGATTTTTGCTACCGGTTCTCCGAACCACCCTCCGCCATCGCTACCAGATCGGGCAATCTGGTCCGAACCGGGAGCATTTCACATGTTCCACATGCTGCCCAGTGAGGCTCTCAAGAACCTCTCTCAGAATTGTTACAGAATTATACTTTTTGATCACGCAAACAAGGGAAGCAAGTTAGTTAATTTATTCATGAAATTTATAGCTGAAGAAACTATGTTTATTATATCTCATTAGTGGAAAACAAATTTAGATTTTTTTTCTTAGTTTTCCAATGGCTGAAACAGGATAGTTGGATCACCACTTAGAAATCAAGAACCCAAAAAGGACTATGTTCCAGCCTTGTGCTTCACGCATAACAGATTTTCCCAGCATACTTAAATAATCGTTGTCAAACCAAAGGCAGTTTTAAGATGAAGCGCCTAGTTGCTGCAATTCAATAACCAAAAGGCAAGGCAATTGCATTAACATCCCTTTTCACCTTTTTTTTTAGTAGTATATAGTAATATCCTTTTGTAGTGTGAAAACTGTTACTGTTTTTCTTGAATATCTGTACTGAAAATTACTCTTCATATTTATTCTTGTTTATGATGGCAAACACTTGTCAATTAAAGCTTGCTGAAACTGCCCCAAAAATCTAAAACAAAAAATTGGTTTTAAAAAATTTTAACTCTCTTTCAAAAAGCAATAATACCCAAACTGAGAAACCATAATATGCAGGTATTATTTTAGGAATATATTTTAGGATATATTTACGTATACATTTATACATTATACATTTTACCAATTCTCTCACTCCAATATGGTTTTTCTACATAGACCAATGGATTTAGCTGAAATTTGGACACAACCAGCTAATCTTTTAGAGGATAATAAGACAGTACATTAAATACTGGAAATGAGAAAAGAACAGGATGAGGCACTCACCTTTCTACCATGTGTGTCTGATCTAAGGATAACCCATCGATGGCTGTGCATTCTGGACATTTGAATTTCTTTCTGGGTGTCACCTATATAAAGACAGTATAACTATAGACTTAACAATCAGATATTAATCTCACTACTAAAAATGCAATTTTTGAAATGCAATCTATGTGTCAAAGTGAAAATCAAATTCTTGAATATGGAGGAAAAAAATATATTCATACCATTTACTTAGCTGACTGCAAAACTCAAAGTAGCCCAATTTTTTTAAAAAAAATTCTTGGAGGGGTTTTGCCTGCTGTAAGTGGAAAGTAGCAGTGATGACAACTTCTTAATTCCTGTTTAATGACTGTTTTCTCACTGCCAAGTTTCCTGTATAAACACTATTTGTTTTCACAGCATAAAAGTGATGAAATATAGCTTCCCATACTTCACCGTAACCTTAATCCAACAGACACACTTTGCTCATTTAATAGCTGAGTGGCAAACTCTAAGAGGCTCTCCCAACTGTACAACTCTTACAACAAACACACATGCTTTATCTTTTAAGGCTTTTCTCAAAATCATAACCACTGGTTTGGGCAAAAGTTGATGGGCAGGCAGGCAGGAAAACAGACCTTGCTAACTGAAGAAATGCCTTGAGACCTCTAAATCTCATTCCAAGTTGTCACATTTCAAAATGAACTGAAAGGTTCTAGGCCAAAAAGTTATTGAAGCGTATCAGGAAATTCATTCAGGGATAAAAGTTCATATAAAAACTGATCTTGCAATTAATGTTTTTGCAGTGAACAGTCTAATAAATCAGCTTTTGCAGCTGAAATAGGCAGGGATGGATTGTTCCTTCACATTCCCCACCTCTCTTAAATCTTGTTTATTTTACTTTTTTTAAAATGGCTTAATTTTCTGCAATTATTAAGGAAACTGATTTCTTCAACTATCTGGTCATAATGGTCACAAGCAATAGAGTATACTCATAAGCAAAAAAATGTATGGATGTGGAAAGTTGAGTCTTTTACAAATAGATGGAATCATCTTCAAAACGGATGAGAAAAGAGGCACAGAGCTCTAAAAAGCTATGTTTAAACTATATAATCATGAGATCTTTGACTCTGCTGCTACGTGATAGATCCTGAGGAACAACTGAATAAAAACTCACCTTAATAACCGCTTTCCCAGTTACATTGGCCACTAGAAAATTCATGGCAATGTCTTCACAATTCATATGTGCATCCACCCAGTTTTTGATGTCCCCGGGCATTTTATATGTATATAAGTAATTAAAATACTGAAGAATAAGAAAAATAACATAGAAAGGAAAAGTTTAGTTTTGATATGAACGACATTGAGGCACTAATAAAACTTTATGTGAAATGAGTATTTAATGTGCTAGTTTATTTAAAACAATTTTTAATGCATCCTATTAGGTGCAGTTCTATAGTTCCAACGAGTGGTATAGTAACATCACTGAGGTATATAATACCAAAGAATCAAACCAAAGGTGGGTGATGTTTTATGCGGATGATGGTAAGAGAACAGCTAGACAAGTATTTTAAAGACACAGATCCCTTTTACCAAAATCAGACAATGCAAATAACTACTGGATGGGGCAGATCTATGTGGGAATAGAAGGTCTTTAACAGAACAAACCTTTTAAAACTTTTTGTTAAAACATTTCATATAATTTTCATTTTTAAGTATAACTTGTTTTTTTGAATTAGTATATCATGCTACTTAGAATTTACTCCTGTTTAGTAATTTAGAGAAGATGCTATCAAACGCATCAATGTGTTACTAAAAATGAATAATCCTTCCTCTCAGCAAATCAGCTTTGAAATGTGTAAATGACTATAGTTTTTTTTTAATTCTTTCTGAGAATTGTTAATAGGGCAAGGGAAAAGTGACCCCACCCACCAACCCATAACATTAGCTCTATTTGAAGCGCTGGATTTGAGCTGCTTTGAATGTAGCTTCCTATATGCTACCTCCCAAGTGGATTTTAAAATTTTCAGAAGTATTTCTAACCGTAGAGTGTATAAGGCATCTTTCTATCATTCAAAGATAAGAAATGCCATCATGGGGAGATATAATAATCTTTGCCTTTGCTGTAATACCCATAACAATGTAACTCTTGTTGAATTTAATTCTATACTATGATAATTTCTTTAAAAATCAAAACCAACATGTAAAGTTTAAGCATTAAATTGATTTTAAAAAGACACCTCTGCTTCTACATCCAGATCAGCTAGCAATCATTAAGAAACTATTGGTAGTCCTTGTTTAGCAACTGCCCCTGTTAGTGATTGTCCTGTTATGACAGTAACGAACATTTTTATAGTCATTTCTTGCATTTACAACCTACACAGGTGTGTAAAAAAAGAAAAACTGTACGATCATAAGCACAGAGACAGTTTTACTTAGCAACTGCTTTGCTTAATGAGCAAATTCCTATAGGAGATGATCAGGCTGAATCTGAGAGAGGGGTCAAGCACATCATCAGCTTGGAATCTCTTTGTCCCCACAAGAGATCTACGGCAAGTCCAGAATCAATTCCATTGATTCTTATCTACCACCAATTTGCCTTGACCTTTAGAAGTTTAGATTCTTGTAGAAAGATAACATGGAATAAACTTGTACTCATTTGAACAATCCTGGTTCCTGATTTCTTGTGCCAGACAGTTGCTGGTCCCAATTATGCTCACTAAATGAGACTATCTGCACAAGTGGGAACCAAGAAAAATATAATATTTGAGATGTAGAAAGAGGTTTAAGTATTTTATCAAAACACAATTAACAATCTTTATATATCATATGTCCATATATCATGATTATATTTCACATGTCCAAGAACATATAAAGATCAATGCCACATGTTGCTATAAACCCTTATTTTCCCACTTTTTGAATATAAGGATTCTTTTCCCTTGACAACCTTAACAACTTTAAGATGTATCGATATCAACTCCCAGAATTATCCAGCTACAATTCTGGGTTTGAAGTCCTCACATCTTAAAGTTGTTGAGGTAGAAATACTGCCCCAGTCAATGCTAAGTGAGTTCATAATTTCAGCTTCCCATCAGTTTTTGGAATCATCTCTACCTTGTGATAAAAGGCTGCCCCTGTTAGCACCATTGAGACTTCATTGGTCCACTCTGATTCATACTTCCATTTACTTGTTTCATGGTCCCACAAATGCAGGCGGCCAGGATAGCCAACTAATCTGTCAGGGAACTCTCTCCACACCTGCAGAATACAGTAAGTGAATCAATATATTTTAGTAGCATAAAAACATTACAAGAACAAATTAAGATTGAATATATGATAGAGGATGTTGGAGCAGCAAGCAAGAAATGACAATGTGTTGCCAATGTAGTTAGCAATAGCAACTTAGACTTAGCACTTATATACCACTTAACAGTGCTTTACAGCCCTCTCTAAGCAGTTTACAGAATCAGCATATTGCCCCCAACAATTTGGGTCCTCATTTTACCCACCTCAGAAGGATGGAAGACTGAGTCAGCCTTGAGCCTGGTGAGATCTAAACTGTCAAATTGCAGGCAGCCGGCAGACAACAGTCGTAGCCTGCAGTACTGCACTCTAACCACTGTGCCACCGCAGCTCAGTTAACACAGATAGCATCTCTTTCTCTACCATATACCCACCCATCTGATTTATACTGCTCTTCGAGAAGGCATCTTAAGAATGACTGTTTTTTTCATAGAGCAATGATCCACAAGCTCTTGTTTTTGAATCTTCTGCTCTTGTACAAAAGGGAAATGTGTCTCCACAACTGTGGCAATGTATTTATTTACTTATTTATTTGATAAATTTATCTAGCTGCCCATCTCACAAACGTGATTCGGGGCCATGGACAAAGTTAGAAAAGAAATAACAAAAAACAACAAATAATATAAAAGTACAACAAAAAGCATTAAACACCTTTACATTAAAGTCCTCTGGGAGAAGGGCGGTATAGAAATAAAATTATAATATCATTAAAAGTACAGGTAGTCCTCGATTTACAAGTTTGTTTAGTGACCATTCTAAAAAAGTGACATATCACCATTTTTCACCCATGGTCATGTGATTTACATTCATATGCTTAACAACTGACTCGTATTTATTACAGTTGCAGTGTCCCATGGTCATGTGACCCTCTTTTGAGATCTTCTGACAAGCAAAGTCAACAGGGAAGCCAGATTCATTTAACAACCAGATTATTAATTTAACATCTGCAGTGATTCACTTACAAATGTGGCAAGAAAAGTCGTAAAATGGGACAAAACTCACTTAACAATTTTCTGACTGAGCAACAAAAATTCTGGGCTCAGTTGTGGTCATAAGTTGAGGACTACCTGTAATAAAACCATTAATACTAGAAAGCTTAATTCCCAAAAGAGATCAGAATGCAACAAGTTCAGCAGAAGCAGTCTTAGGCAGAGAAGGAAGAGAGAGATAAGAAAAAGCCAAACACATCATCAGTGGTTATGGAAAAGTTGGGAAAGGAGTATCACTTAAGGGATTGCAGAGACTTTTCATCCAGTAGATCCAAGGGCATCTCTGACTCAGCCCTGACTGTCTTGCGATAGTCCTTATTATAAGCAGCCGATTTACTCTAGGAATTGGCCTTCTGAAAAGTGGTGAAGACCTGGCTTTTCCGGCAGGCCTGGGGCCGCTGATCTCGCTGTTGCGATCTGGCAAGATCCGGCCATGAATGGTGTGAATGGGTTTTAATTGTTTTTAATGTTTTAATTTTTAATGTTTTTATATATGGTTTTTAAATACATTGTAAGCCGCCTTGAGTCTTCGGAGAAGGCGGCATACACGTTGAACAAACAAACAAACAAACAAACAAACAAACAAACAAACAAACAAATAAATAAATAAATAAATAAATAAATAAATAAATTATTGGGGCTTTGATGATTATGATTATGTGCCATCAAATCAATGCCAACTCTTAGCAACCACAGAATGAGTTTCTCTAGGAAAAAATTGAGGCCGTTTGATGGTCATAATTCCTTTCACTAACCGGTAGGAAGGTATCTGTTCCCTGTCCTAATTTCTAGCTGATAGTCTGGGAGTTAGGATTGCTTTCTTGGCAGTATACAAAGGCAGGTAAATTGCTTTTCAAAGCATTAAGCTAGCATGTCCGACACTGCGAAAGATAAATGGACATAGATTCATCAAAAACACCAATTATCAAAGTTACATTTTGGGACAAATCGAAGATCAATAAATTGATATACTGCTTTCAGGAAAGAAGCCATTTCAATCCCGTTTTACACAGGGCGTTAAGATTTTTTTAAAAGAGTAATTTCCAGACTTCGAATCGCAAAAACCTGGTTGAGAGCAATACTAGATTCATTCTCTTTACTTTAAAAATTGTTAAGTATTTCAATACATGCTTCTTCTTCTTCTTCTTTTTTTTTTTGCACATTTGCTTTTACCTTCTTGTGAAGTAAAACAAAAATTGCTGGTGATTGGCAGAAATGTTGCATAGTCCTAACTGCTTAAAAGCCCAATGCATTATCTTCTATCAACACAACTCTGAGAAGTGTCTTTTTCCTTCACGCAAAACTTCCACTTAAAATCACGGAGCTATAAATATGTTTCTGCATCTTTAAACAAAACAGCCTATAAAGCCTGTGTTGCTCTTAGTTCAGTAGTTTTGCACTACGCAATAAATTATTAGGAATCCTAATAGTTCACTCTTAACAAGTAAAAAATGTCTGACACTTTGAGTGTTACTTTAATTTTTATGGCTGAAAGTGTACAGAGATCAAAGCGCCTCTTCTTTTCTTCTTTTTTATAAGTAAGCTTGATCGATAGAGCCAGACATGTCTGCGCTGATACAAAGTTCAACCATATGTTTAAAAATAGGGTCTGGAGAATAAGGAGGGGAAGAACTTTGCCAATATCCAATTCCAAATATTTCTCCTGAATGAAGAACCCCCCCCCCCCCAAAAAATCCTCCTTGTAACATTACAGACTGCTACCGTTCTTACAGATTTCCTTTGCAAAAAACTAAGAAATGCATTAGACACTTTCATGGGGAAATATATAAACAGATAAATAAATTACTATAGGCTGAGGACAAGTTAAACATCTGGCAGCCAGCTTAGACCTGTCAAACAGGTCAAAGACACTCTGGTCTGAGAAAGATTGATCTGCAGTCACTGATTTGTAGTTGAAGGTAGAAAATACATTTATACATGTTTCCTTTTATACTTTTCTAGAGAGCACATTTTATCCCTATTATTGAAAAAAACACCTTCTGTTATATTGGCATTTGATATTTTTAATTTGGAGAATTCACATTACTGGAATTTTGCATCTATCCAGATTTTTTAATGAAGTTATTTGAAATGCTTTCTGTATATTATTGCTTTAGAGAGTAACACTATTTTATAAACTGGAATTCATTATTTTCAAAAACAACTTCTGTAAGGTGCACCACTCAAGGAAGAAGAAGCTGAATCCAAGGGACACCAAGTTCATGCAAGGATTATCCAGATTGTTAGGCATTTGCACAATCTAAGCATCTGGACAACACACTTCAGACAAAATAGGCGAAAAGGTCCCAGAAGTTCAAGTGCAAGGCTTGGAACTGCAGTTCACTGATTCAGTTGATGAATTATTGTAATGCCTTGGAAAAGTAATTTAACGTTTTCAATATAAGACAGACCGATGCCTATTACTACACTTTCTTAATGTACAAGTGGCTTGTTCAAATTAGATCAATGTACATTCAAAATATCCATATTATTGAAATATCTTATTCCCTTTTAAAATGAATTATTATTTAGATAACTAGTTAGCTAGCTAGAGTGTGGGCAAGAGAGACACAATGTGTGAGAGAGAAAGACAGAGAGAGCTTAATGAAATAGAAACATTAATAGAGACATTGGTAACATGTGTCAAACAAAGGCAGTATACAATGCCCATACAATAAGGATATGAGCATAAGAAATGTAGAGAAAAATTTCTTATTATTATAGGTTGTCTTGATCCACAACTGTTCATTCAATGATCATTCAAAGTTATGGAAGAACTTAATGAAGGCACTTATGACTGGTCCCCAAAGTTACAACCATTCTAGTGTCCTACAGTCACATGATCAAAATTCAGACACTTGGCAGCCCGCCCACACTTAGGACTACAAGAGCACTTCAACTCTCCCCAGCTGCCTATCTTTCCCTCCCTTCATGCCCTTTAGGCCCACTCACCTCCACTGCCCCGGGCCTCTTAACTGACCATGTCATCTTCTGGCTCTTACTGTTAACTAAGCATGCCCAGCCTGGCCCTTTGCAAAAGCAGCTGCTGGCAACACAAGGCTGTCTTCCCTAAACCATGCATGGTGGTTTCCTTGAGAGACCTGGGTGGTTTCATGTGGCCAGCAGCAGCCTTGCCAAGGGCCAAGTCAGGCATGCCTCATCAATAGCAAGAGCAAGAAGATATTGAAGGTTAGCTGAGGTGGTGCAGTGCAGGATGGTAGGGCTCTCCAAGTGCAGAATTTATTCTAGGAATTTATACCACATAAAATTAGCAGCCTTCTTACCTCATAGCCAAACTGCAGCTCATCCGAGGTCAACATGATGATATCATCATCAATGGCTAACACAGCCTCTGTTTCAATCTCAGCATAGGGGAAGAATCGATTACTCAGTTTATTTTCTGTGGTTCGTACAACTGTTAATGGAACTCGAACTTTAGGCCAAACAGTTTCTGCAAAATAAAAATCAGAAGTAGTTTCTTTGCATTCCTATGTTTAGCTATAGTTATTAGCATAACTCTCTCCAAATCAATTAAAACTCCAAAACAATTAAAACTCGGACCACCCATTTTCTGAACAGTTTTTATCCCAGAGCTATAATTGCACTCAACAAAGAACTAAAGGGCCACCATCAGTGAGCTGTTGGACAGCATTACTTGGTCTGTTGTGTGGATGTTTGGGTGGTTTAGGGGTGGGGAATCTGTGGTGGGTGTGAGTGTGTTTGGGGATTGTTATGTGTGTTGGACCTGGTCTTTGGGTGTTAAGTGAATTTCGTTGTATGGGTATACTGTATATACATGTATAATGACAATAAAGTTATTATTAAATCAAGTCAATGCTGGTACTGGGGAGAGACTAGAATTAGGGCTACCATGTCTGGGTTGCAAAAATCTGGACAATCACTAGATGGCAGCAAAGAGATTGTTGCATCCATATATGGCATGAGTTCTATAATCAGGGTATCCTCATCAGAAGAACCTAGCAGCATTTGAACTGAAGTTTCTAGATAGTCATAAATTGAGTCCTACACAGAGTAAGATGCAATTCATTAAAAATAAAATTTCAACATATAAAAATAAGTTCTTCTGATTTCAGAATGGCTTCACACTTATGGTACATATGACCACACAATTCTTTGGTAATATAGCAGACTGTCAATAGATGATGAATGAAGCTATTCTAGAAATCTCTTTCTAAATATTAAATGTATACTTCAAGAATGAAGGACATTTTCCTATTCAATTCAATTCGAGCTCTGTACTGTCTCAGTCATATCTGTTCAGTGGGTATGAGAGAATGGGGAGCAACAAGAAAACATGCCACGCAAATTGACGACTATTTGCATAATAACACTGGTTTATAGACTAAAATATTCAGCATAAATCAACAAAAGGTGCATCCTATACTGGGCTAACACTGATTTATGGAACATGGAGACCCTCTCCCAAATAAGATTTTTTTTCCTATACCATTTCACATTTGGATATGAAAACGTGAACGCCATTCTAAGTAACAACTGCAACTAACTTTATGTAAAGCTGGCAGAGGTCACAGATTACCATTATATGAACATAATATGCATAGAACAATCTAAGCTCCATCATGAAAGAAATGCTGGCAAAGACAGCATGGTATGATATCCACGTTTGCTGCTAAGAAAATTATGGTTCTATAACTTACATAGAGTACTCTTAATGAGCATATAATGTTCTACACACTTCTGATGTTGGCATCCAAACATAATACCGGAGACAGCTTCCTTAGGAAAACTGTATCATTTTCCAAACCGCACTAAAAACTATGTAAAGAAAGTTTACCTTGGAAGAATTTGGAGGGCTTTTTGGCTTGGTAACAAAAAAAGTAAAAAGTACAGAGTGAAAAGGTTTGGAAATATCATTTCAGTTTCTTACTCCACCTACTTTTGTAGGTGGCCCCTAGAAAATTGCTTTAAAATATTTTTTAGTACTGTCAGTGAGGTCTTAGTCCAATTTTTAAGGTTTATTTATTTTTTATTTAAAACATTTCTATAGCCGCCCATCATGTCAAACTCTGGATAGCTCCCAATCAACAACAGCATCAGTAACAATAGCATAATACATACATCTCTAAAAACCATTTATTATTTATTTATTAAATTTATATGCTACCTGTCTCCCCTACAAGGTGACTCATAAATATGAAAAGAACCAGTTTGGTTTAATGGTTAAGGCACCAGGCTAGGAAGTAGGAGACCGTGAGTCCTAGTCCTGCCTTAGCCATGAAAGTTGGCGGGGTGTCTCTCGGCCAGTTACTCTCTCTCTCTCTCTCTCAGCCCAATTTACCTCACAGGGTTGCTGTTGTGAAAGATGTGTCAGATATGTTCACTGCCTTGAGTTATTTGTAAAAACAATAATGAACAGATACAAATAACTAAAATAAAAAAGTGCCACCAAAGTTATACCTCCAACATCTTCTTTAAATCCTCTCATCCACCTCATTCTATGCCAGTGCTTGGGGGGGGGGATGCCAGATCTTAAGTGCTTTTTGGATGGCTAGAATGGTAGTGGACTGCCAAACTTCATGATAAACAGTATTTCACAAGGCAGGGGCTGTCACAGTAAAGACCCTTTCCTAGATCCCAATGACAGTAACAGACAAAGTTTTGTATATGGAATGTGATTTACTACCACTGATATTATTTTCAGTAGCAAGTCCTCTATTTGCTACATAAAGGATATCAATCAGAATGGGGAAATATAGGTAGTTCTACAACCATTTGTTTAGTAAACGTTCGAGATTACAAGGACAGTGAAAAAAGTCACATATTATCATTTTTAACACTTGTGATTGTTTTAGCATGCCAAAATTCAGATGCTTGGCAACTGGCATGTATTTATGATGGTTGCATTATCCGGGGGTATATAGATCACCTTTTGCGAACTTCAATGAGTCAATGGAGAAGCCAGATTCACTTAACAACATGCTACTAAGTTAACTGCAGTGATTCACTTAACAACTGGGGCAAGAAAGATCGTAAAATGGGACCAAACTCACTTAATAACTGTCTTGCTTAGCAATGGAAAATTTGGGTTCAATTGTGATCATAAGTGGAGGATTACCTATACTGCCAACACTGGATCAGAAAATTATAAATTAGGAAGCAGGCACAGAGACAATTAAGTTTATCCCCTGCAATAGTCCCAAGTTCACATGCAAATGCCACACTGGAAGGAAGTATATCCTTTGGAAAGGCCTGACTGAATGCACAAATTTGGTCATTCTCTGGTATTTCATACTATCAGTAGAGACAAAAATGAACTTCTATCAGCTTTGGCTATATGTAGAAAAAGCAAAACTAATCATAGTTATTTGTGTATTTATTATACTCAGTTTAGATTTGCATGGTAGTGTCTGTAAACATGACTCAGAAGCTCTGTCTGGTACCAAATGCAGCTACCTATTTCTTGTGTATCCAAGTAGTACATAGCATCTATTCTGTACTGGCTACATGAGACGGTAGTACATTTTCTGGATTGCATTTAAGAATTTTTGATGGTTATGTTTAAAGATTCAGTTTAGAATCAGGTAATCTGAAAAACTACTTACACTTATATGAAATTGCCTGAGTTCTGAGAAGCCCAGGATTAAATGCCTTCTTACAAAAGAAAAAAGAAAAACAAGATCATGAACCTAACAGGCTCAAAGCGTCTTTAAACTGTTCTCCATCTATTCTAATGAACATTTTCATTAGTTTTGGTTTTTTTTATCATTGTGCCTACAGTTTGCACATATATTTTTACTATATAAATATGATTGATATTTTTTACCTCTTGATATGATTGACCTCTTGATTATAATTAAGGAGTAATAACACAGAAAGAGTTCTGTTTAGAGAGATACGGCAGCCTTATAATACTAGTGTGAATAACTAAGAGACGTTATCACTACTAATGCAATAGTCAAATGCAATTTATTGTATCCCATAATGAGTATATCTGATATCTGCTTATAGGTCCTTTCTATGCATAGCAAAAAATACAACAACAGAACAACAGAATCCAGATCTGATTTGTTCCAAGTCAGAAATATGTTCCTTACATAGCAATAGCCAGGATATCCTGCTTGGATACTTAACCAGGTTAACAGTCCCAGCTTTACTATTACCAATTAAAAGAAAATAGCCATAAAATGCAGATACTACCGTAGGGAAATAAACAAGACCTTATCGTTGACAGCAGTGTGCATTACTAACTTCAAACTCATTCCTTGTCCTAATCCATCAGAAACTTCCTGGCTTTAATAGGCTATAAATGGTAGAGGCTTTGAAGTCCAAGGATTAAGAGCTACAAGAGACAGACCCAATGAAAGCCTTAGTGAAGTCAACTTCTGCTGTCCTACTAAAAAGCTAGGTGGAATGAACTGTATGCATTTGAATTAAAACAAATTAAATTAAACCCTTCAATAGCAGACCAAAAGATTCCACAAGCTATCCAAGTGTTAAAAATACACAGATGAAGGGGGTAGCTGGCGGTCACATAAGAAAGTTATTAAAATATATACCTATAGATAACCAAATCTCTGTAAGAAGCAAACCTATGACCTTCAAAGCCATTACTACTCACACCAACAAATTCAGATTTTTCATCAGCAGCTAAATTAATGGCTATTCTAAGAATTATCGTAATGGGCAATATTTTCAACATAGCAAATAGAAAAATCTTATTTTTAAAACAACCATGTTGCTATTAGTTATTGTGGACACGTTGCAAGTTCAGCTATTTAAATATAAACGCACAGCAGTACAGAAGCCATTGTAAGAAGCCACTAAAATGCTTCCAACTTCCCAACCTATGGTTGGGGTGGTTTTTTAAATCATTTTCGCCTATCAGTGATATGGAAACAGCCTAGCTGAGAAAACCTGAGCATTTATATGTTGTTTATTTATTTTTTAAAAGGTCTGTATAACCCACATGTAGTATACAAAGAGGATATAAAAGAGAAATCAGCAACGTAGCAAATAACTGTTAAAATGGCAGGAATACAAATAGCAAACCACCACAAAGCTATTCTACAAGGCTTTAAAAACCAACTGCTAGAAGCTAGAAGCATAAAAACATTTTAGCCTGGTGCCTAAAACAAATCAATGTTGGCATCTGGCAAATATTTGTCAAGAAAACATTCCTCCCCCACAAAACAACAACTAAAATATATGGTAAACCCAAGAGGACAGCAGGTTCTGTCCTCCCCCCCCCCCAATGCTTTAGAAAAGGTCAAAATTCTCAGAAAATAGGCAGGTCTTTATCTGTATATAGAGCTGTCCAGTGAGCATGGCTTGGAAAAATGTTCCAGTCAGAACACTGTCTGATAGGTATTCAACTCAATTCACAAGAAAGCCTTCTGACTAAGTCAATTAGCAAGTAAAACTGAGACAGCAAGTATCATTTGTTCCTTAGAAGCTTTAAAAATAAGCACTCATGATACATTGGGTCAGGAGTGACCCAGTGAAACTGGTTATTCTAAGCAGTTAACAAATATAGTTCCAAATCCCATCATAAAAACGAGGGCAGCCATTTTTTTCTTGCTCCGAATATTCACACACCACTGTACAATTTATTTCTATTTCTAGAAACATTCTCATTTTCAGTTCAAATGAAGTTCAAACTCACTTCATTCAGAATTTGGCCCATTACTACTAGAATTAGAAGTGTCCTCCCAAACTTTTCAGGTATGTATCGGACTTACCTTCTGGTGGAACTTTATTCTGATTGTTCCAAACAACTAACAATTTGGAAAGACTTGGAACCTTTGAAACTTCAGTGATCACTCGAAAGAGACTTTCAACACGATCATATGTCAAGACAATAGCAGTGAAGCCTTGTGACTGAGGTGGGATCAATGGGAGAAACAGTGGATTGCTTACACTGCTCCATTTCTAGAAAACGAAACACAGAAAATCAAAATAAAAGTCAGATTAACTATAATAGAAAAAAAATCAAAACGGGGACACAAAGGAGATCATTTTAATGAATATCTTAATTGAGCCAAACAACAAATCAAAGAAATCAAAGAAACATATCTTTCAACAGCTATTGCTATCACAAGCAGGAGGCCATTAAACATTACTTTTTATATATATATTAGTTCATGAACAAACCATTAAGTATATTTAAATAAGCTGGGAAATGCTGAAAGATTAGTGGAAGACACACTAGAAGGTTTTAAAGTTTAGCTACTTTGGATGGCTTCTGTCCAACATCTCTCTTCTAAAATGGCTGCTATATTAACTATACTCTGTATATTAACTAAAACTAGGTCAATAAGAATCTGAATGCCACAATTTTGGAAAAACATGAAATACAGAGAGGCAATTTCTTAAATCTGGCAGAAAGTAGGCACAAACAAAAGGGAAAGACCTTCTTTGTCCTGTATAGAAGAAAAAATATTAACTTAACAAAAATAGACTTGTTTCGTTGTTCTAAATATTAACTACTTAAGTAAAAGAACACAAGAAGATACATAAAACTTCACACTTATTTAGTGTCCTTTGGCTTCATCAAGAATAACCTCTAAATACTTTAAAAGGTTAATTTTTTGGTGCTGCCAATATAACTAAACACAGGATACAGACGCCATTAGCACAATAACATGGAATTACAGAAGACATTTATGAATACCTTTCCATTCCTACTTAATATACTGGTATGATGAAAGACAAAAGTAATAGCTTAATATAAGTATAGAAAAAGCAGATTATTAATGGAGATCATTGAATCTGGACTCAATAAAAACACTAGGAAAACTGTGGCTGTTCAAAAAGGGTTTTCACTTTTTTTAAAAGTCACAATTATCCAAAATACTATAAAATATATATCTAAAAGATCTGGGCAAATAAATTTCTTTGCTTAACATATGAGATTGTCTTAAATTTCAGTTCCATGTTAAAACCCTCAAAGTACATGGGATTACACTCCAAAGTGCATGACAATGTCCATATGTGGAGAGGATAAAGAATACATACAAACTGTATTGTTAGAAAATTAGTGACTTGAACAGTATAGTGCTATCGGTCTTAAGACCAATAGGAAGGTGATATAATATACTGTAAAAATCTTCGTATTTCCTCTGATTACTTCCTTTTTCCCCTCGGTAATACTGTATACAGGAAGACTTGGGGTTTTTTTAAAAAAATGAAACAGCAATTATGCAATCCCTCTTTTTTAAATTCAGTAGAGCCTGAAAAGGGACATGCAATGTATTTTGCTGAATATGAATAAAAATGTCAAGGAGAAGATTCCTCACAGTAGATCATCACTCCTGGTAACTGCATCTATGCTATCCCCGCCCCCCCCAGCAGCCCTATTGAAACAGAGTTTTCAATTTCTCAGTCTAACCAAAAACTCTATAATTACCTAGTGGTGCTTCATCCAAAAATTACCCAGAGCGGACAGTACTTCGCTTCTAAGATCAGCCAAGGAGAGACATGCTGCTACCTTCAGAAGCATAAATGTGCATGTTGGCCCTTAAAAGATGCGTGGAAATAGCTTTGACCAAATATAGTAAAATAATTTGCTTTAGAAGATAAATGACTAGATCCTCATTTTAAATGCTGATATGTGGTCCATATGATTCCAGCTGTGTGCAGAAGTTCATGGTTTATCCTTAGAACAGGATGAACTGAGGCTGGATTATTCATTTCCAGAAGTGTTTTCTTCCCAAACAGGAAGTGGTTTGTGATGTTCTGGACATATGATTAAGGATTAGAAAGAATATCTTAAAAGTAAGGCTTGTTTGATGCAGGAAGATCAGTCTATGGATTTTTTGATAATTGTTGGTGAATAGTTTTAAACAGAATTTAGCTACTCATCCGTTTTATAGTAACCAATTTTTGCATAAGCAAGCTTGAACTAATGACCTTTGAAGCCTCTTCAGACTCTATAATTCTCTATTCTTCTTTTCCTCATAAAATCAACTATTAATTAAAAATCCCAAGAGCAATTAAAAGAGATCAGCAAAAGCTAATGCTACAGTAGAAACCTAGCTTCCAGATGCTCTGGATTATGAATTACATCATACCTGACCACTGGCCTTGATGGCTGCAGTTTATGAGAACTGTAATCAAAACATCTGGAGGGAACCAGTACCTATCTCAGGTTGCTATAATGCAGGGGTACATGTGATGTGATGTATCGGGACTTTTTTCCCATTTGCTAAACCAGGCAGCAGTGGGGCCAGCACATGACGCATCCGGCCCGCAGGCCGCAAGTTTGACACCCCTGCTATAATGCAAAAAAAACAAAAAAACAAAAACGTAGTACTAAATCAACTCTGATCTAGTACTTCACACTTATAAAGAAATAATACAGCCATACTATCACTCCAAAGCTTCCTTAAATAGACCCACTGTTTATTTGGCAGTAGAATGAACTCAAAATACACTGTCCCACCCATGTTAACAGTTGCTTGGATTGGATCATTTTCATAAGGAAACATGAGGAAATAACGGGAGCCAATTTTTAAGGCAACTCTGCAAGCCTTGCAAAAGATACAGATGCTTTAACTATTTGAAGAGAGAGAGGGACTTTTTTTGCAGGAATGCTCACTGAAAAATATATTTTGCACAGGCCTTGATGGGTTGTGCTATCATCTAGTCATAAAAAAAAGTAAAAATCCTACAGAAATGGAAAAAAAAGTTAAAGAATACATTTAACTTTGTGACACCCAAGAGTGAACTCCTCAAAAATCAAGTTCCTTTATTTGAGAATAACATTTCAAAAGAGCATTTAGGCACGGCAGAAGCACCATTAAGAGCCAACCCCCTGCTGCCTGCCTGAAAAGTGTGTCTACAGTCTGGGACCTCTTGACCTCTCCTTCTGCAGGAAATTGAGCAAATTCAAACTTCCATGATTTACTTGGGTCTTTTAAACTTCTGTTGAAGAAAGGCAAACAATGCAGGTGATTATCTCAACAGAAGCCTAATTAAATCACTATTATAGAAACAGGGCATGAAATTGATGGTGACATAAGGATAGTTCTTCGCAGAAATGGAAATGTGACAGCTACCATTTGTTTCGGGGATATCCAGTCCTTGAAGAGACCCAATTGAATCTTCATCTAGCTTTCCCACTAAAGCAAATGGTGTTCATGATGTAATCATCCATCACTTTCTTTGACAAAGTGCTGACATTCAGCTATGGCTGAGGCAATCCTATCCCATTCCCCTTTTGCCACCATCAGCTGGCTGATATTCATTACATGAGCCACAGTAACTGAAGACTGATAGACCTCTTATTGTGAATCAGTTTTGTGCATGAGCCATAACAAGTTGCAAGTGTCAACCCTGCAAAAATGATCTCACATTCCTGGCTGTTTGATAGTATCTCCTTTCTGCCAACAGCAAACGAAGCCAAAGTTCTAGAATCAGAACGTGAGACTGAGAAATCTGACTATTTTGGGGGTGAGATTAAAAGAAAAAGGTACAGCTCCACAAGCTATATCACATTTCCATAAATTTGCCATTTACCAATAATTTAATTTGTTTAAGACCTGATAAAAAATTATTTTTTCTCTTTTAACTGCAGACAAAATGAATCTATGTAAACACCAGTAAGGGAATTAGTACTATTTCTTTTCTCAAAAATAAAAGTCTGGAGCAGATTCAAGGGAAAGAGAAAAGCATTATCAGCAAGAAAAAAGAAAACAAGAATCATGTAGGATTAATGTGACATATAATAAGCTAATTTCTTCTGAAAATATCAACGTAATCCTTCTGATATAAACAGCTTAACCATAATAGTTGAAGTATTTAGGTTTACCACAATGATGAATAATGGTACTAACATGGAAATTGCCTGATACCTAACAGAAATATCACAGGTAAAATAAACTCTTATACAAGTAAAAAGACCCATTAGAGATTATTACTGGCCATCTTCTTAAAAGTCATAATTTTAACTATCAACTTAAGTCCTTGGGTTTCAATGGCAATTGGGACTGGATCACTTCATCACTAAGTGATGTGATTGTAAAGCCTAATATCAATCCTGGCAGTTGACATCAACCCAGTTGTCATCAAAATCCCAGAACCATGCAGGTTGTTAGATAAGAAGAGGCAGGAATCCCAGGTAAGGAGAGGGGGTTGAGGGGGTACCACAGCAGGCACTACAGAATGTGGTTACATGCATGTGATGGAGTGCGGGAACTGATTTTGCTTGTGGGAAGCCAGCAGGGAAGGTCACAAATAGTGATCATGCAAGTATGAGCTGGTTGCCAAGGGCCTGAGTCACAATCACATGACCATGGAGTGCTGGTTGTAATTCAGCACCATCGTAACTTTGAACAATAACTTAATGAGTGGTCATAATTCAATGACTGCCTGTACTGTATGTGCTTCATGTATCAAAGTCACATGTCTGATGTGAGAGCACTGCAAGTCCCAAATTCTAAACCAGAATTCTTGAAAGATGGGAATTCTTGTAGTTGCAATCCTAGCACATCTGAAGATCATTGAGTTAGGGGAGGTTGGTGTCAACGGAATGTAAAATCTGGACCAGCTAGCAGAGATGAAGGGGGAGGGGGAAAATGAATGTACCAGAAAATGAAGAAAGGATGAGAGAGGTATATGAAGAGAAATAGGAGGCACAGGAAAATTTAAAAGAAACTAAAGGTTAAAAAACAGCCACTTTGTTGTAGTGTGCAAGTCACCAGAATAGAAACTACATTGACTGTGAGTTCTAGTCCCACATTAGGCATCAAGCCATCTGGCTGATATTGGGTAAGTCACTCTGACATCCTAGGAAGAAGATAATGGCAAACTCCTTCCAAAAATCTTGTCAAGAAAATTGCAGGGATTAGTCCAGGCAGTTGCCAGGAGTCAACACTGACTTCAAGGAACATTCAGTACACATTTTAAAAAGGTTAAAAATAGGAACAGTGGAACAAAGTCAGAAGTCTTATTTAGATTTGCTCTTGCCTGCCCATGTAGTTACAGCCAATATTCGTGCTGTATATTGCAAAATAGTTTCCTACAATCCAGTAGACATTTCACTAGCAATCTACAGAGTATACATGTGATTAGAATTTTAAGAAAAAAAGACAAAAATAGCATTCTAGGATTAAGTGACCAATAAGAAAATTTTAATTTATACATGATGATTACAAATGCTCTTTTATTGGATGCTTCAAGTGAATATTTATCATGTTTCTTATCCACAACTGATCAGGACGAAAACATTGGCAACTTTAATTTGCTTCAATTCTTCTGTTTGCTAATATCTAAAGTTTACCATTTTAGAAAACAATTGTCACATATTCTAATAAGCTCTAAAACATAACCTATCACTAAAACATAATTTGAGTTTAGCAAGTATTATACACTGATCCACAAATTTTTAGATATTTATATATCTGGAAAAACTTCTGAAAAAAATAATGTAACCGCATCCAAACTGCACAAGTCACATTTCTCACTTTCCCTTTCAACATATATAGGGAAATTACAATGGCACTGAATGAATAGTGAGTTGTTTTTTTCATTTAATCATGTCCAGTTCTCAGAGTGTACCAGGATAAGCTTTCTTGCAAGGTTTTTCAGAAGTGATTTGTGATTTGTGACCAGAAGTGGTTTTTCAGAAGCGATCTTCCTAGGGCTGAGAGAAAATGACTGGCGCAGGGTCACCCAGGTGGCCTTGTGCCCAAGGAAGGACTAGAACTCACAGTCTCCTTATTTATAGTTTGATGCCTTAACCACTATACTGGTTCTCAAGTAACATCAGTACAACCCTCTTAAATTTTTTATTTCTATATTCAGCTGACAAAAATAGACTTACCGGTAACTAGGTTGTGATGAGACTGACAGAAATAATCCACATTTTTATCTTAACTGCTATTAGTCTTAATTTTATACAGGTCTTATCTAAATTCTATGTAATAATACTTCAAAAATCAAATATATGAGCTATTCAAACACTGAATTTCAGGTCAGATCTACCAACATGAAAAGTATTATTATTCAACCTACTTAAGTGGGAAAGTTGTAAGAATAACTGAATACTTCAAATGTTTGAGTTGGTATACTGAAGTATCAATAAAGAAAAAAAACCCACCTCAGTATTTCACATTAACTAATACAATTTAATTAGGCTTCTTCTACCCTATGTAGGAGATATTTTTTCATATAAAATAACATAAGGCAATTATGTTTTCAAGGACCACTCTACAAGACACGCGACAAGATCATAGCAATGTGTGTTATAAAATTCTCCCTGGAAACATATATGAAAAATTCAATATTTTTGATGATCTTAATTTTATTTTCAAAATTTCTGATAAATTGTTTTTTTTTTCATGCAAAATACAATTGCTTTTCAATAAAATGCTTTCTTAACATTAAACTTAACACAATAGGTTGATCTAATCATGCAGGCATATTAGTCAAACTTCTGAGGGCTAAATCAACAACAACAAACACATACACTCACACACACAAAAGCTCCCTTATAGCTGGAAAAGAGTTCAAGCAGTTTTCCAAGACAAACAAAAACTATTTCATAAGGAAAAAGTCAATATATTAAAGACATTACATTTGTCCTTAAATATGATTGCAAGCAACAGAAGGTGCAGTGTCAGGTACAATGTAACCTAGAAGAGGGGGAAAAAAACAAATGGACAAATTCTCTGGTTACAACAGAATACAGAAGGTGAGTATAGGACCAACCAAATATAAATTTACCTTTAATTGTATTCATTCATTCATTCATTTATAATCTGATTCTCCTTTTTAAGAAGTATTTACCTGTGGACTCAGTCTTTCCAAGGAGACTCACAAACTCAGATCAGTCTAGCTCCAGTAACAAAACCATGTTATTATGTATTTTGATCATTTCCTGCTATACTCCAATACTTGACACAATTCAATTTTATACAACTTAATATATTTTTATTTATCAGGGGTTCATTTTCTGTCTTGCAACAGTTTGCTTTATGACAACAATCTACAAATTTAAATTTATTAAATGCAGTGATTCTCCAGGTGATTACTAAATAGTGGTGCATAAACTAATGTTTATGCTACCCATTAAAACTCAAAATTATCCATAACATTGAGTTACACATTCTATATATTAGTTCATAATATAAAATTTCCTAAGGATGAAATAAACTGACATTCCAAGCCTGAAGGTTTGAAAGAATAAACCTTTGGCCCTGTGGATCCTGCAATTTTATGTTTTAAAAGTTCTGATTTATTTAACAGCAATAATACTGATTCCACGATTTGTGTAAAATTAGTTAAACTGTGAAATTATTTTCAGAAATATAACCAATCTTTAGCGTTTTCATCAGTGCTTCAATCTACCAGGATATTGATTATTAGCCAAATCACATATAAATGAATAATATTTCTATTGTTCTAGATAAATTATAGTTAAATAAAAACTGGTTATTTTATGTATCTGACAAATGATTACATTGTCTTAATTTAATAAATTATACTCTCCCCCCCTCCCCCTCCCTCCCTCCCTCCCCCCCCCTCTCTCTCTCTCTCTCTCTATCTCTATATCTATCTATCTATCTATCTATCTATCTATCTATCTATCTATCTATCTATATATATGCATATTCTCTCTAGCCAGGTTTTACCTATGTAAACTTAGTTGTTCTTCAGCCCTAGGTTCTGTGAAATCTCATTCACAAGTTCTTGGGCCCTTTTTCTGCTGACAAACTGCAACTCTGTGTTGCTTTCTGGGAGACCCAGATAGCTATTTCTGCCTCTTAAGGCGTCCTCAGTGGGCCACACCCACTTCCCAATTATCCTCCCTGTAAAGGCATAATGTATCTTTTTTCTTTTTTCATAGGCTTTTATGTGCATATTCTCTCTAGCCAGGTTTTACCTATGTAAACTTAGTTGTTCTTCAGCCCTAGGTTCTGTGAAATCTCATTCACAAGTTCTTGGGCCCTTTTTCTGCTGACAAACTGCAACTCTGTGTTGCAACAAGATACATTATGCCTTTACAGGGAGGATAATTGGGAAGTGGGTGTGGCCCACTGAGGACGCCTTAAGAGGCAGAAATAGCTATCTGGGTCTCCCAGAAAGCAACACAGAGTTGCAGTATATATATATATATATTGAGAGAGAGAGTCATGGAGAATAAAAATACACCAATACTAATCCTACCATTTTAATACCGGTCAAAACCCTAGCTAACTATCTCTTGCAAAGGAACAATGGAATGAAACATTTTTATTTAAAATATATGCTGCGTTTCATGGTCTCATTACCTCACTGCAATTCTTTGTCGTTCTACCTTAACTGCTCAGTATATTAAAAGATTTTTTTCAGATGAAGGCTTGGAAAAGCAATTTTTGAAGGGAAAAAAAAGGCACCTAGATAATGTCTGATAAGATAGCTGGTTCTAACTTCATATTGAAAATGTGACATTGTATTTTGCAGACCAACTATGGAACAGCAATAGAATTATCAATGGTTGAGAAATGCCAATGGACTTGAATTGTCAGATCAACAGACAATAAAAGCAGATTATATAAATACAGCTTTGCCATCCCATTCTCAACATTACTTATTTAAAATGTTTGAACTCAGAAAGATTTCCTGACTTCCATTTTAGAAGCCCATCTCCAAATATACTGTTCAGATTTTTTAGAGTACTATAGTTTGCTTGTTTGAAAAATTTGTAAAAGAAAGTTGATTTCCTGCTGATGACAATACATACTGTACAGTAGGAATGTATTTCTAGGCAAACCGAGTTTACTTTCAGGAATCTAATTTTTTGTCATGCCTCTATATAATAACAACTACAAAAACAAAAATACAATTAAAATGATAAGTCAGGGAAAAGAGGAACATAAGAAGATATTACGCTAACCTTTAGGAAACTAAAGCTCAATTCAAGATTAATTCAAGTTTTTCATGCTGAATGTCTTAATATAAAAAACAAAATACTTATTCTAGAAGTTTTTGTTATAGAGCAGTTCAGCATATTAAATTTAATAAATAAATAAATAATCTCACTTACAATTTCTGGGGGATCATTCCATTCTTCATATGATGTGGCAGCATACGGATAGATTCGGTCATTGATAATCTTAAGAGTTGCCATAGCAATAGCTTTCATTGATTGAAAGTAAGCTTCCCAGAACCACCTTGCCTGCAAAGAATAATTAATATTATGTCACATTGGTTGTTTCCCAGATAGCAAATTTTAATCATTTGTATATGGCTGTCATGCATATAACCTATTAATATTTCAGTCTAAGCTACTGTTATTAAGAAACTGAATTTGTTGAAATCAAAGTAGATTTAGTTACAATAGCTCTGCCATATTAAAAATAAAAAAGTAAACAATCTAAAATCTGGATTATCATTCAATTAGTTAATTAGTTTATTTCAACATATCTATACTGCCTAACTCATAATTCAAGATGCAATAACAATTTATAATCAATATGTTGACACATTATAGAAGCAACCGTGTACCATGTCCATTTCAAAAGTGCATCAGAATAAGTTCAGAAATTATAACATCTTTTTATTTTAGGTGTAAGGTATGAAGCACCATAAGCAGATTACTTATTGATCCCCAATTGCTAAGATTTGAGAAATACCTTGTAAAGTTTCTTTTGGATTAATCTCTTCCATCTTGTCTTGTATTATAAGGGGATTGACTTATCTCTTTCATCTCTTCTTTTATGTATACAGGTAGTCCTCATTTAGTGACTACCATTAGGACTGGCAACTCCATTGCTAAGTGACATGATCGTAACATAAAATGTGTCCAACTTACAACATCACTTAATCAGTTCCAGTTGGGGGTCATTAAGCAAATCTCCCATGGTGATTAAGCATGATGTCATATGTCCACAACTTGTAACTGGCTTCCCAACTGACTTTGCTTCTGAAAGCCATCTATCAAAGTCACAACTGGCAATCATATAACTGCTGGACACCGCAACTACCATAAATGCCAAGTACAAGAATTGTGACATGACTATGTGGACATTGTGACACCCACAACTTTGAAAGACAGTTGTATGCCTCCTTTTCAGCACTGCTGCAACTTTGAATGGTCGCTGAAAAAGTGGTTGATACAATAAGTGGTTTTATTACAAAACACTCAGAAGCATGTTATAATGCTTTCAAATTACAATTTGGAGGGGGTGGGGTAAAATCTCTGGATGCCATCTTTAATTCAACTATGAGAGTATCTAGGGGTATCTAAACTTTCTCTTATATAGCTAGGATCAATATTAGTTTAAGCTATCCATGGATATGGACAAACTGCATGGTATGGTCAACTGTCCTCTGGAGCTGTCCCAATCTGATTTATAACTTCTAGTCACACTTTATATAAAACAGGAAACTTCCTGGTTTAAAGGAAGTGATTCTTAAAATAGTGAAACTATTTTATGGTGTCTCTTGAGACTCTATTTAATCCTAAAGTTTTTCCATAGTTACTTAAAAGCCCTGGAGGAGCTGGGTGCTATTTGTATACTAATGACAATTTGTCACTAATGACAAATTAGTCTGTTCTGTATAAATTCACCCTCTCCCGGGAATAGCAGATAAACAGTTCCGGACTGCTTCTGAACTTGAATCTCTTCGTGTTTTCCAAATTAAGGCAAGCGGCACAGCATGTTTAGCTTGGCTGATATTAATGGAATCATCTCTAAAGCGCCAAATAGTTTCCCCAGGTAGTTTTGTGGAGATGTTGAACAGTTTTGGAAGCAGGATGGCAGCCTAAATATTAGATATCAGCCAATGCTTTCAGATTCTAATAAAGCAGGAGCTGTTAATGAATATTTGGCCCACTGAAGTTTGATATGAGGTGTCCTTGGTGCTCTCTGAGCTTGCTTGTTTTCTTATTTATTTATTTATTTATTTATTAGTCCAATTTATATGCCGCCCTTCTCTGTAGACTCAGGGTGGCTTACAATGCATTATAGCAATAGCCTGCATACTTTTTTGTATATACCTGCTTATTAGGGCTTTCAGCCCCCCCAAGCGGTGTTGTTCTATACAAAGTTGGCTTATTGCCCCCACAATCCGGGTCCTCAATTTACCTACCTCAAAAGGATGGAAGGCTGAGTCAACCTTGAGTCTGGTGAGAGTCGAACTTGCACTAATTGCAGGCAGCTGGCAGCTAAGTGCTAGCACTTAACAGCACTTTAGTCCGCTGCACCACCGAGGCTCTTTTCTTGCAGACGTTTCATTACCCTAACTTGGGAACTTTTCAACCCCGAGCTACAAATATTCTCCTTTATTGATGAAGTTTGATATTTCATATTACATTGACATAAACAATGAACTGTATGTTAATATTGGACAGTGATAAGGTATTCTAAGAGGCTATGCAAACCTATAGGCTGTCAGAGCAAAAAGCTTCTTACTGAAAGAAGCATCAACAGAAACTTATCTACTTAAAGTGACATTTATTGAGGCAAATTGTTACATTCTTTAACTATATGGAAACTCTATTACAAGTATTTCATTTCAGAATAAGGAGCATCAGGTTATACCACAGCATACTGTATCTCTAAAATACATGAACATTCCATATTGCACCAATGACAGATGTTCAAGTTAGCATGCAAAAATCAGTAAATATTAAGTTGCAAAAAACAGCAAAATTAATAGAAACATATTAAACACGAGGACGCTATGTTTTGTCTGGAAAAAATCTTTGATTTTCATTTAATCACTTACAACTTCTAACTGGGAAGAAAATAAAATGTTAAGAGAAAAGAAGACGATGGCCTTCTAAAAGGGCAGTAAAAGTTAACTGTCTAAGCTGAAATGTCAGGCGCCATGGTGTTGTAACATTTTGCCCCACTGCAAGAGTCAAGTGTTCCCAGAGTGACACACTTCACACAGTTTATGAGGCCTTGAAGTATTGCTATTTTCATGTTGACAGACATTATTTTGAAAGCTTTGCTTTTGAAAATAAGTTACAGAGTACTCGTATATATTTTATTATCTTTAGCTCAGTTAGTTCTAGCAGAAGTACACTTCATCCAATTTTTAAATTAGTTTTGCCTTTAATTTAAGTTTCAGGACTTGCAAAGAACGTGATGAATTTAAACTTTTGCTTCTTATTTTTCCTAGCCATGAAATTATCAACTTCCCTTCTGCCATTAACAGCATGCTAGTACCCAATATTTAAATAATCTAAATATTATAAAATACATTCTCAAACTTGCATTAAGTGTGCTGAATATAAGTGTTCCAGATTAATATTTTTGGATGGCTTTTTAGTTTGTCTATGCAGGCTTTGGAATCAATTAAATGTTTAAATTGACTACTTTGAAATAATTATACTAGATACATGATGAAAGATAAAGTTCAAAGTTTTTTTATTTTAAAAAACTCTTTATTCTTTCCCAAGTGATATGTCTGGACATATTACAATGTCTCCTAGGAATTTGGGAAGAGATGGAAGTCCCCTAAATAAATTATTTTAAAAAATTTTTTACCAGTCTTCTTTTCACATGATTCTAATGGGCAGATATTGCTCATTTCATTTTCATGTGGAAAAAGTTGAACAACAACTGGGCATTAAAACTATTCTTAAAGCCTTTCCATTTTAAGTATATTAAACAATACTGTTGGCAATATTTAGCAAGTTTACATACCAAACTTACTCTACTACAGAATTCATTATTACAATGTATTTAATCTAGATCATCTGATCTTAAAATTAATTGGATGTAGAAAACAAAATCTATTATTTTCATTTCTTTTTCAGTTTCAAATTTACAAGAATCACAAAGTCCTTAGTTCAAAACCATTGTATGACCTTTCTAATATTTGTCATCCGGGACCACTTTCTATGGCTTCTCCATGGATTGCTGAAATACATCTGGCTCACTGATATGACTCCCAGTGGTGACATTAAGAAGGAAAAATAAAATGCTTTATTACATTAATTTCGCTAAAAATCAACAAACTGTTTTCTACTTTTTGCATTTTTATTCAAATGGATAACAATAAATAGGCATTATATAATATCTACCAGTTGTATTTGTTTATGCATACAGCAGTGTTAAGACTGATCCATATATTTATGTAAGGAAATAGTCATTCACAAATTTAAGATGTAAAAGAATAAGTATGTACACCTGAAAATAAAAGTTCTTCTGAAGTTATCATCTTTCTTCTGAGGGATTTCCTGGTTATAGTATAAAGGGTCCATCTTCTCCTTGCCCAATGCTTGTGCTTTCCTAGTCATATAAACTCTACATACTGTAGAAGTAGAAAATATTGAGGGGTATTGAATGTATGCTTTTGTTTTGTTTCATTTTGTTTGTTTGTTTTACTGTTTTGTATTTTATTCCCTATGATAAAACAATTGATGATGATGATGATGATGATGATGATGATGATGATGATGATGATGATAGAACACTGTGGCAAAGTAAGCAAAGGTAGTACCAATAGTAATAGGCGCCCTGGGTACAATCCCAAAACAACTGGAGCACCACTTGAACACCATTGGCATTGACAAATTCGCCATCAGTCAATTGCAGAAGGTGGCTTTTCTTGGAACAGCGCCATCCTGCAACGGTATCTGTAACACTGTCAAACATCCAGATTTGCCTATCCCAGGTCCTTGGTAAGCACTCGATAGGTGGACAGAGATGCCAAACCTAGTCTGAACATCTGGCTGACTGTGCTATTATTATTATTATTAATAATAATAATAATCATCGCACAGTCAGCTAGATGTTCAGACTGGATTTGGCATTTTTGTCTACCTATCGAGTCCTTACCAAGTCCTTATCAACCACCAGCACCAATCAATGATATTTGTGATACATTTTTAAATGTTCAGTTGACTGAGTTTCATGTTTAAAGGAGGAGAAGGAGAGGAGGAGGAAGAGAGGAGGAAGAGGAAGAGGAAGAAATATTGAGGACTTTGTGAAAAATTAATCTCATTTGATGTTTAATTCCTTGATGCCCATTTGTCTCAAACATCCAAGGCAAAAAAAGTTGACAAAATCCAAGACAGTTGCTGCATTTTCATTTCTCTCATTCCAAACAAAGGTATAAAATGCAGTAGTAGCTGTTAACCAAAAATTATGCTGGGCTAGTAAGGAATTGTCAGCTCAGACAGAATACTAAGTACTATACTGACTCCTCAACACAATAATC